ACAACCACAAATACTTGTTTCACAAAATCACTACTCAATCCCAATTTTTACAAAATATAGAGGGGGAGGAAAAGTTGTACAAAATTAACTATTTTATTCATATTTCTCAAAAATACATATGTTCCTACTTGCATGAGTATTTTGGCTCTATCCACGGGTTCACAACAAAAACTCACTAACCAGGGCATAAAATATACTAGTTAAAATAGAAAATCATGCAAGTAGTACATCTATCATGACAATTAATCCTTAGTTGGCAAATGCATTAACAATTACACATGTAAACTACTAAAGAGAGACAATAAGAGGATTTACTCCACAAATCCTAAGTCTCTGTGTGTTTTCCCTGACTTGGATCCGATGAGCTAATCCCTGAAAATATTGAGAATTGAGGGGTGAGTACAACCACTCAGTAACCAAGTTTTACTTAACCCTTACAGTTACATATTAATTGTAAATAGATTTAAAAAGGCACATGACACACATATCACATAGTATGGGGCCACAGTTCATAAAACTAACAATCATGTGACTGGGCTTGCCACAAAACACTATATCATGTTGATTTCAAAAACGTAACTCAGGGCTGCAAAAATAACAACTATGTACCCTTAACACACGCTGGACCATACTACTAACAATCATGTGATCAAACTTATATGCATGATCATGTGCCAACCTTATATCCTCCTATTACTTCCAACACTAAACCGGTGGCTATATCCTTCACGGACTAACCCAACCTTTCACTTATGAGGAGTTACCAGGCTAGGGTTAACTTACTCACTTATGTAATTTGATTTTCCCCAATACTAACAACCATGGGGTGTCATACCCCTAATCTAGCCTCCTTATGAACCAGTGGAGACTAGTTAGGTTTGAGTCCCTTATAGAATAAGTGGTACAATTCTGAATCAACTATGGGACAAGGGTTACCTCTCGATTCCAACAGTCGGTGCCAAGGCTAGTTCCCGATTCTAACGGTCATTGTCAATACCACGTGAATTTCCAATCAACCACTCCTCTCCCTAGGCAAACTCCTACCAATAATCATATCATGCACATTTCACACAATTTATGCATTTCAACATTCATTACTCAACACATGAACTCACATAACATGTGTACTCCACATTTTAACACATAATTCGTCACAATTCCCCACCCATAGTAATAAATCACAATTAATTTAAAAAACATCAAGGGCGGTAGAATCAAAATTTTCTTTCTCAAAAACATTTCATACTCAAACATTTGCCAATATGCATCATCAAATTAACTCACAATTCACATTTTACAACACAATTAACATTTAACTATGAAATTAAGTTTTCCCCAGTTACCTCAAACCTTTGAGAGGTTAAAGGTTTACCCCTCACTATAGCAACTTTCTCGGGCTTCAACAAGCTTGAAAGGTGCCAAGACGAACCTCTCTACAACCAAATCATAAGGATATCATCATCATCTAGCTCTTTAAGCTCTATCAATATAAAAACTCCTCATACACTATTTTACCAACTCATAACTACTACCTATTCATACCCAATGGGCTCATTAGATTCCACTTCCACTAATGCACATTATCATTAATAACACCTCAAACCATCATTAATGCATATTAACCTCTCCCAACTACATCAAAAATATCAATTTTCGGATATTAAATACTCCTATGGACCAACCACTTCCAAAATCATCAATGTGGTGTTCTAATACATTAAATCACTCCCATTAATCTCATTTTAACCAATGGAATCGGACCCATACTCCTATGGACCGAAAATCCATCTCCTAACTCAAACCCTACCATAAATAATCATAAATAAGAGAGAGGTAGACACAAATAGATAACTTACCTAAACTTAAAGAGATAGACACAAATAACTAAATTAGAAATAATTTAGGATACGCGATGAATTAAATTGTAGCTTCAAGATCTAATTAGATGCTTTTGAGTTATGTGAAAGCCAATTCAATACTAATTAGACACGCCCGAATATACTGGAAGGTAATTAGAATATTTTAGAATATTATTAATATAGACATATTATCACATCAATCAATAATCAATATCAATGTTTTATGAAATTTAAAAAGTATGTAAAAAATATAGACTTTCTATATTTTTTTATATTGAAACAAGTGCATCAAAGGCTAAATGATTGAGCAGATTACTTTATGAACTTTATATTTATTAGCACCATAGATCATTGACTCATTTATTATGCAAATTATCCCTTAAATTTTTGAAAATGATATGATCTGACTTTGACCGTTATTTGATAGAAAATAACAAAAAAGAACTTAAAAAAATTACAAACAAGGACAACAAAATTACAAAAAAAAGATTAAAAAAATTTTGGTCATTTTTGTAATTTTTTATGTCATTTTCTATCATTTTATGGTCAACTAATGGTCAATTTTAACTTTTGTTAATGACCGAGTTCAGGTTATATTGTTTTCAAAAGTTGAAAAAATAATTTATATAATAAATAAATTCAGGATCTATGGTGCTATTTTGCTCATTTATCCTATATTAAATGTACAATATTATTTTTTTTTTACAATGTTGTGTGATTATAACTAATTATTATATTACTATTTTATATTATAAAATTATTTTACTGAAGTTTTTTATTTTTATTAAAATAATGTTATATGTATAATACTTTTTTTTTAAATCAATTTGACCCCCTCCCCACCTTTGACTTTCTGGTTCCGCCCCTAAATCGCGCCATTTAGTTGAAGCCAAAAAAAAAGGGAGAATGACAATTAAGGACCTACTAAGAACATTAATCCTAATTACGGACCGTAAAATTTTGAAATTCTAGTTAAGGACCATGGTCCTTAATTGTGATTAAAAAAATATAATTTGTGAGGTGGGATTCATTATTGCCACTTGAGAATTCACAAATCCAACTTGAGGAAAATTTATAACGTATATTGTGAAAACATGAAATCCCACTTGAAAATGAAATGTTTAACAAAAAGTGCCACTTAAGAATTCACTAACTAGACTTAAAAAAATTTCTAACGTATATTGTGAAAACATGAAACTTCACTTGGGAATCGATTGTTGAATAAAAAACACCAATTTGAATAAGTCATTTTTTATTAATGATTCTCAAGTAGGGTTTTATTTTTTCACAATATACGTTAGAAATTTTTTCAAGTCTAGTTAGTAAATTCTTAAGTGGCGCTTTTTGTTAAACATTCCATTTTCAAGTGGGGTTTCATGTTTTCACAATATACATTGGTAATTTTCTCAAGTTGGGTTAGTGAATTCCCAAGTTGCGTTAGTGAATCCCACCTCACAAATTACTTTTTTTTTTATCACAATTAAGGATTATAGTCCTTAACTCTGATTTCAAAATTTCACGGTCCATAATTAGGATTAATGTTCTTAGCAGATCCTTAATTGTCATTCTCCCAAAAAAAACAAAAAACAAAAAATCGTGCAGACGCTCGCAGATTCTGCAAGTTTTAAAATTTAAAATTCTCCTGCATTGCTGTGGAAGGGGGAAAAAAATCCAACAATAAGTTATGAGAACAGAGAAGAGTTATCTTACGGACTAAAAGAGATGGAAAATTGATTATTTTTTTATTTCCATAAGCAAAGATTTACATGCAATCATATGAAAAATATAATTAACAAATAAACTTAATTTTACTAACTACTAACTGGACTCACATGCATGCAACGCCAAAGTAAAATATAAGAAACGAAATGTAGTAATTAAATCAACAATATTGGAAAATAAATTATAAAAAAACAGTTATTTTATGCTAATATATAGCCATTTTTAATTGTTATATATTTTAATGCTATATATTTCATAAATAACAAATAGCTATATAGTTGAAGTCTTTATATATAACAATTATTAATAAATAACTATATCATTAGAAATTCGATTCATAATTTACAAGGTTATAGAGTTCATATTCCACTGCTGGTATAAGTATTTTTATAGAAATAAAATTTAAGTGTAAATATATATATATAAACGTCCTTTAAATTTTAAAAATTTGCTCTAATTTTAGTGAGTTAGGAATCTTTTCTTGCCATTCAAGAAAATGCAGCCGTGTAGCAACTCACACAGCCACACGTGGACTCCTTCATCATCAGCTAAAATGATGACGCTGGAAGTGGTGCCACATCTTGCAAAACATCTAATTTGAAGCTTTGATTTTGATTTTGATTTTGATTTTTTTATGGTGGAGGATTGTGTGGATAATAATGAGAGAAGTATGTATTAAATAATAATATTTTTTTTAAACTATAGGCAAATATTCCCTCAAGTCTTTATTATAAAGTGCATTCAAAAAAAAAAATATTTAGTTATTAATACAAGACACTTGATAAAGTACATTAATAATATTTTTTATTATTATTTATATTTAAATTCATTAATAATGAAAAAGAATGTAATGTAAATTTTAAAAAATTATTTAAATAGAGCTATAATTAAAATTTTATTTTATTTTTCAACAATATTAATAAGTTAACCATTTTTTTCTTATTTTCGTAATGCATAGTTAGAGATGTCTGGTAAAAATTTTAGATGAAGTATTAAATTATGTATTTAGCTAATGCCCTCCCTTATTAGCACATTCTAAAAGAAATATTCACATTTAACATTCAATTACATCTCAAATAAGATTATTTTTAATAAAAATATATGAAATAATAATAATAATAACAAAACAGAGGAAAATTCGAAGGTAATCATAGAATGTCAACAAAGGATTTCCAATTTAGGATAAAAAAATTGACACGAATTCCAAGGCAATATAAAAAGCAACAAACTTCTCGATTTTAGAATAAAAAAGGCATATAATTCAAAGTTAGAATCAAAATATTAAATGCTCATGGGAATATATAATTAAAGCTTAAAAAAAAGGCATATAATTCAAAGTTAGAATCAAAATATTAAATGCTCATAGGTCTATATAATTAAGGCTCTCTCTCTCTCTTCAACATAACAACAAGCGCATCATCTTCAATTTCTCGTTGGGCTGTGTGGAGGAGAACATCAACGCAAACAATGAATACTAAGGAAGAGAAGAACAAATTAGCCGAAGCTGAAGCTGTGGATGATGATGCAAATTTATCAGTCATACCTCTCTTTATCCCATACAAGATGGGGATTTTCAATCTATCGCACAGGTTTATTCACTTGTCATGTCGTTTTCTAATATATCTCTTTACTCTAAACAATCGATTGCAACATATATATATAGCTTTAGTTTGTACTAATAAACGGTGTTTTACTTCAATTCCAGTTTCCTTTTATCTCTTTTCTGGGAATCTGTAAGTTCTTCGTATCAAATCTAAATCATTCAAAGTTTAATATTTTATAATTCTGCTTACCATACATGCGATGAGATTTAATTGATGGTCCGGATCTTCTTCTCATCTCCTTTCTCATTTTCTTCTTCTCATCTCATATTCACCCTTAAATAATCAAATGGATGGTTCAGATTAAATTGTTTTGCAAGATAATTGTTAAAAACAATTAAACTATTAAAATTAGGCTTTCACTGTTCACAGCTATACAATATTATTAAAAAAGTTATAAATTAATTTTTTTTTATCTCAGTTATAAACTGTGTAGGTAAAATTTTAACAATTTAAATTTCCGTGTGATGTTGGCATTTTAAAAAAAAACTTAAATTGTTAAATTTGATTAATTACAACAGCTGTTCAAAAATAGAAGACGATAATTAATGAGAAGAAAAGCAAAGTGAGATCGAGTAGTATTGGACTTCCATGATCATCTAATTTGATTTGCTGGTTGATACTTTATAATATTCTATCATACATGGAGATAAAAGTTGGTGTTGGTCATGGTAATTAATCTTTGCTCGTTAGATCTTATTTTGATTATTATGATCTTGATTATTATTTAATTAGAACTTATATAATGATTGTTGACTAACACCGATTATATTATACATGCACACAGAATAGTGTTGGCACCATTAACAAGAACAAGGTCATATAACTTCTTTCCTCAGCCTCATGCTGCTTTATATTATTCTCAAAGAACTACCAAAGGAGGCTTTTTGATTACTGAAGCCTCAGGGATCTCTGAAACTGCACAAGGGTATACGCTTCCTTTCTTAGCTTTAATTTTTTATTTTTTGAGAAAAAATGATCAGGAAAAAAGTACTTTAGTAGTTTCAAAATTCTTATTATGTCTTTGAATAAAAAAAAAAGTAGGTACATTAGATATGACTAGTGTAATTTTCTATGCGATGTGGAAAAGCAGTTCTTCGCCAATAAAGCTTGTTCTTATCATGGTTATTAGTGTAATTAAAGGCTGTTAGAATTACAGATTCACCCTTAATGGAAAGTGGGTAATTATATCGTATTAATTGATATATTCTGATTTAATGAGGTTTGACAAAAAATCATGAAGTAATTGCGAATTAATTCCTAACTGAATACAATTTAAAAAGTTTATCTCTGCACTAATGTAGAATATTCCATCACAATAATTCTCTTTATTATGAGATGAATTTATGATGATTGAAATTTCTCTTTCTATAATAGCCTCCCACCACACTATAAATAGTGCTACAACTAAATTTTCTTCTTTGAAGTAACAAATACATTTTTTTCCTTTTTGGTGATCATACAATTCAAGGTACCCAAATACCCCTGGAATTTGGAAACGAGAGCACGTGGAAGCGTGGAAACCAATTGTAAGTGCTGTTCATGAGAAAGGAGGCATATTTTTCTGCCAGCTTTGGCATGCTGGAAGAGTCTCCACCTACAGTTCGTATCTCTCTCTCTCCCCCCCCCCCTTATTTGAAAATATGGGGTTAGTTTGAAGACCAATAATACTACTTTATTAAAGGGTGAGATTCAATTAAAAATACCTTATATTTTTTAATGGAGAGAGCATTAAAATTTTTCTAATTTTATTTTAACAAAAATAAAAGATAATTCATTCAATCTGGCCTAGATTAAAATCTGAGCAGTGATAAGTACTAAACCCAGTTTGACCCAACACACTAACAAACAAAGTTTATGCTTGTTTTTTTTTGTTTTTTACCAACAAAAGTTTATGCTTGTTAAAGGAGATAAATATAATGATTGAAAATGATGAACAGATTATCAGCCTAATGGGGAGGCTCCAATATCATGCACAGACAAGCCAATAAGACCCAAAATTCAAGCTGATGGAAGCCGTAGTGTTTCTAAACATTCACCGCCACGTCGGCTCAGAACCGATGAGATCCCAAAGCTTGCAGATGACTTCAGAGTTGCGGCCAAGAACGCTATAGAAGCAGGTTTTGATGGAGTTGAGATACACGCTGCAAATGGTTACTTGCTAGATCAGTTCCTCAGAGACCAAGTAAATGATCGAGACGACATTTATGGTGGCGGTTTAGAAAACCGCTGTCGTTTCCCTCTTCAGGTAGTGAAAGCTGTTTCTGAAGAAATTGGATCTCATAGGGTCGGCATTAGGCTCTCACCTTTCACAGAATATAACGATTGCATTGACTCTGACCCTCAAGCTCTGGGACTTCACATGGCTAAATCATTGAACCATTATGGGATTTTGTATTGCCATGTGATTGAGCCAAGAATGGTGACATTATTAGAACGATGCGATGAGACTCGCTTCTCTCTGAGACCTATTCGAGATGAGTTTCGAGGTACTTTTATTGTTGCAGGAGGGTATAATAGGAATGAAGGGAATGAAGTTATTGCCAATGGTGGTGCTGATTTAGTTGCGTATGGTCGGTTGTATTTGGCCAACCCAGATTTGCCTTTGAGGTTTTGTCTTGATGCTCCACTTAATAAGCCGGATAGAACCACGTTCTATGCGCATGATCCAGTGGTTGGTTATACAGATTATCCCTTTCTTCCTCTTTCTAATACCGATCAATAGAGATAGATATTTTTAATGCTTTCTATTTGTAAACCGTAGTTTTCTATGATGATTTGGACTGATGTTGAATGCGCACAAAAATTAAAATAAAAAAAATGTGCTTTAGTTTGGTCGTCCAAAAAAGAAAAGTGCTAGTATTTTTATTGTACTTTTGGATCATTTGAATGGAGACTGAGTTGAGGATTGTCCAACTTTCTATTGTATTTGTGAATGGGTGAATTAATGTTGAATAATCCATTCAAAAAACAAAACAAAACAAAACAAAACAAAAAACAAAAGTTGAACGGGAATCAAAAGGAGGGCAGCTTAAGAGGAAAATATTAGAAATATTATATTTGATCCAATCTCTTTTAAAAGTGTTTTATATATTCATAGAGACTCAAAACCTCGTGTGGCCATAGTTCTTTTACTTGCCCACTGGAGGATTGGCAATAAATCAGGCTATTATGCACCTTTTTACATTAAAAAAATAGTTTTTAAAGATATTTTTTAAAACATACAATTTTCTTTTCTTCGTCCTTCATTTTGAAGTAAGCAAATACAAATAGACTTCCAATTTTCATAAGATTAATCGGATATATAATGTAATGTTCGAACACTATTTTTTTTATGTAATTTATTTTTTCAAAATAAAAATATAAATCAGTACAAACAATTTATACATTAAAATAAAAATATGATTGTAAATAAATTAATTATTTTGACCAAAAGAATAAATGAAAATTATTTTTTTAAAAAACACTTGATAAATTTTAAAATTTTTGATTAATCCCTAAAAACTAATCATAATTTACAAAAAGAACTTATTCCTGATTTTTGAGAAGCTACTAAAATAATCAAATGAAAGAGTCGAGAAACAACGTTGATAAAAAATCCGAAAATATTTGAAAAAAGATCATAAAATCTAAAAATTATTAGATAACAAATAGATATTTTTGAAATTATAATAAAATTTGATATAACATAATTTCATAAATTATTAAGCAATGAATATTTTTTTCATAAAACATCCAAACACATTAAAAATTGTTTATTATTTTAGGGAGAATTTCAGTTACATTACTTGCAAAGGGAGTTAATTTCAATTCTCTCCCTTATGAAAATTCAATTCAAGTCCCTAAAAACTTAAATGAAATTTTAAAAAATAAATTTTAAATGTGTATTAACAAATTTATTATGTTAAAATTACCAATTCCAATAGGATAATTATAAATGGAGCTTTTTTCTTGTTTTGATACAATTATCCATTATTCACGAATAGATGTGGGCAAAACTATATTGGTGGTAAAATTCTTTCAACAAGTGTTTTAAATAGTTGCACACTCAAGACTCAAACTTGAACCCACTTATTGAGCTAGCACAATCCCTTACTTGCGGAGATTTTCAGTTTATAGAAATTAAGTTGATATTCTTATTCTTTTCACTTGTGACATGCTCCCTCAATCCTGAATTATAAAACAATTTAAAATAAAATTACACATACAATAAAGCTTAATAGTGACATTTTATAAACTTATTTTTTAAAAGGCAAATACATACATACATACATACATACATAAACTTTCAAAAATACCATTCCATTAATATAATTTTAAATCTATACACTTAATCATTATACTACAATCATTTCAATTCTCTCTTTACTTAAAGAATAATATTTAAAAAGTATTATTAATGAAACATAATTTTAATCAAATTGCCTTATAAAATATCTCCAAAGTTGTTTTATAACTTGAAATTGAAGTAGTTTTTTGCAAAGTATGAATGTTACAAATGGAGCCATTCTTATTTTCTTTACAACTAAGAGGGTTGTCGTGAATTTTCTATGATTGTGAATTATATTAAGTTTGCGGAATATATGAATGTTTATACACACACACAGTGCTAGAGATCTAGCAATTACTACATTCAAACATACATGCACATACATATACATATACATTTATATAGTAATCACTGACATTACCACACGCTCCACTACAATTAATCTAATTACTTGAAAATCATTTAATTTGTAAATATTGAAAGCATTGGGATTCCAATAAAAGATTTTCAGAAATATTATTTCATAACTCATTCGAGTTATAAACCCTAACACACAAATACATACACAACAGAAGCAACAAGTATTTGGGTACTGAATACTAGAAGAAACATGTACATACAAGAAAACAAAGTACAATTTTACATCATGGGCTGCAGCATATGGCACAGAGGCCATAGTCGCTCGCCCTGTGCTGTGCACTATGGCATGCGAGTCCATGCACTGTGATGCACACACCTAAATTTGCTGTCAAATGACAGTTTTTGATGTGAAATTCACATGCACATCATTTCCACCTATGATGTTCGATTGGAATGATTCAAGTGCCTACACAAAGCTTGTTTCAAAATCTAACTAATGACACTGGTTTCAACTCAATCCAATATCTCTATCAAAAATTGAACACCCAAGTGTATTTTGACCATTTTCTGCCAAAATTTTGCCATTTAAGTGTCTCAATTCGAAATATATTATCATTAGCCACTTTTTGGGCATTGACCAAGTCCAAATGGATAATATACACCTGATAGACCACACACATACATAATATATCACACATACAAATATTTGGCCTATAAATCGCCCTTTTACACTTTAGGCCAAAATCACCTTTTTACTTCTTTAATCTCAAACATGGCCAAATTACTGCCCAACCACTACACATATCACATATTCACACACATATACCTTCTTCCACTAGCTCATCCAATCATTTCATTATTTACACATATACAAGGACTAGGGATCTCAAAATTAAAAAACACAACATTCACCATAATATGCATATGTTTGAATCCTATGGCAACTTATACATATTTACAACTACTAATAACAATTTTGTTATACCAAATTCTTACAAAGGCTTAGTGAGCGATCTTAACTCCGCCAATGTTTTTTCCCTTCGAACCACTAGCACCAGAGCCTAAAAAATGTAAATAACCATAGGTGAGATAAAAATACCAGTAACCAATATAGTTCATGAAATGTCTATTACCACAGATAACCATGCCAAAGTAACAAAATAAAGTAATATCACATATACATCAAAGTATGAAGAAATATCATCTTTTCAAAACAATTCCCCATAAATACACACTAGCATGATTATCTAGCCATCGAACTTCTAATGCTCCTCGATATGAAACCATAGGCTCTCTTAAATTAACCACTTGTCGACCCGAGCACACTTTCGGTGCTAGAAACACCTGGCCAAAGGTAATCTAACTCACCTATAGACTATGATTTTTCCTTTTCACACACTTGTGATAGAGGCATCGTTGACTCCTAACCGTAACCTATTGGATACTAGGGAGTTTTCAGATTACCCAGATGTCCCATGGTAACAGTCCCATAATATGCTGTACCGAATTTCCCATGGTAATTTCTACTATAATGCTGCACCAGATGTCCTATGGTGCCAGCCTGACCATATAAATTTGTCACTCATATATCTCCACACACACACATGCTCACATATCCTGGGTGAACTTCCAACCCTATGATCATGTTCTTTCACAGTTTCCACTACTTATACACATTTCCACAACATATATACTTCTATATCATATATGTATATATCCATTCAAATCAATAAATTTTCAAATTCATTCAAAGTTCATGCTAAAACCATTTCAATAACAATCATGCATAAAACTCATAAATTCACTTTTATATAGTTATAATAGTTAATAAACATAATAAATTATATGCTTACCTCAACCCTTCTATTTACTAGAAAGCGTTACCTATGTTTCAAACAACCTTATTCAAGCTCCTTTCTCACAATTCGTGCATCACATACTAGAATCAACATAGAATTGGCATTCAGAGTCAATTCCTCTATTGACAAAAAGTGCCAAATGTCACATTTAAGCACCTAATCACTATCATAACTACATTTCATACTCGATTACACACTTTACCACTAATTACCCATCATTTCAAGCTTTAACATTTCTAGCCAATTTTCTCTCACTACTCTCTCTCTAGATTAGGGTAATTCTTGACTACAGTTTCAAAGCTTTATCGTTTCGACTCCAACTAGTTGCAAAGCACTAGTTTAGTTTTAAAGAACCTTTCTATTACTACAGGGTAAGAAATCAACTCCTTAAAACTCCTGAATTCAATTTCTCACTAGTTAAAACTAAGAGAAGATAGGGTAGAATCGAAGGTTAAGGCAACATGTGACTTACTCAATAAGTAACAGGTTAGAAATACTGTCCTTGCTCTTGATTATACTTGCCCTTGCACATCTGTTGCTCTTCTCCACGTCTGAGCTCTTCTCTCATGTTCTCCCTTCTGTTTCCATGAGCTGGACGCATCCTTATTAATCTAATTTTTGCTTCATGTGCAGTGGCACATCTATCCCTTACTGCGGTGTGTGGTCACATGCTTTGTTTCGGGACTCTGCTCTTTTACTCATATAATATCCCAATGAGTCAATGTAACACTTCACCACTCAGAACCCTAATCCCATATTAAATCACTAATTCATCCACTAATCAATCATTAATGCAGGATTAGAAATTCAGGATGTTATATTTGAGCCCTTCATGCAGTTATTTCAAGTCCCTAAATGAGATTATCCCTATATCTAAGGATGCTTATTTTCTATTAAATTAAGACATGTGAATATTTATAGGTTATTTATTCAATAACAAAATTTTCTTATTAATATTGTTAACACATTAAAATCTACTTGTTTTGATTTGATTAGATAAAAATATATTAAATATATAATAATACTAAATATCTAAGTCATATTCAAAATGTAAAAGGAGCCTAGGAAAAAGTAGTGTGGCAGGATGGGTGATTAAAAATTCTCATATTTGATGAGAAAAAAACTTGGGAGAATTACAATCAGGTCCCACACAAGGAAATTAATTATTGGAAGGTTCATTGACAATTGAACTAAACTGTATTAACAACTGGTTCTATCATCAATACAGTTTAGTTTAATTGTCAATAGATCTTATAGTAATTAATTTCTTTATGTGGGACTTCAATGTAATTCTCCTTAAAAACTTCTCACCTTAACATATACCCTATTTGTCATGAGGTACATATTAAAGGAACCAAGGGGCCAAAAAAAACCAAAACACAGGAAAAGAAACCCTCCCCAACTATGCTCCTAGTCTGCTCTTGAGT